GTGCACAAGGACAGGCATTCAGCAAAAGGCTTAGAAGTGCTCAAGAAGAACTGTTGTCCTCTCTGGGTGAATGAAGCAGAGAAGCATCAGGCAATCCTAACTTAGAGAGAATCAGCAAGAGAACAAGATATCTGCTTGCCAGGGCTTACCCATTCAGCCACTCTCTGGGATAAATGTTTAACACCCGGTGCCAGTGGCATACAAACATGGATGCCTTGGTCGAACTGGAAACGTTGCCTTTAATGGTCTTCCAACTGTTGGAAAGTGGGCTGGGAGGCTATTTCCTGCAATTTTTAATATTCGAAAAAGGGTTGAAAAAAAAAAAAAAACCCACCACAGACAAGAGTCAGGGGAGGCTTACCCACTCCTTTCTATATGATTCCCCCCTTTGAAAAACAAAGCAAGTTACGAAGTTGTGAGAGTGACTTACGTTCTGGTTTGGGGTTTGGAGGGTTCTCATTGGCTTTTGAACTGTCTCACTTTGCCGAAAGTAGGAAGAAATAGATCATCACCCTCTGTTAACTCTCTTGGCCTTAGGTGTAGGGCAGAGCTGACCACGGAATGGGTTGGGGCTAAAAAGACACTTTTGTAGTAGCGCCCTTATTGTTTTGACACAAGTCTACCTCTGCCCAGATCTGCATGTTTTGCAACGAAAGTCACTAAGAACAAGCATTGTGTCATAAGGGCTCCTCAACTATCCATGAAGGTCAATAGAGGAAACTCCCTACTTGGAGCAGCAATGCCCTTGTGTCCTGGACACACTGAAACAACAGGGCATGTGCTTCTCAAGTGCTTGTACTACAGAAGCATTCTCACTAGTCTCATCTTACCACTATGCAACTTTTATATTTATTTTTAATGACTGTACCCATGCCTTATGTTGGTCTATGTATAGATTTATTTGATTGGTTTTCAGGGTTATTTGCATAATATGTTAAAGACTCTTGACTTTAGTTTTTTTTCCAGATTATTATGATAGGTGAACCCAGCATTAATCTGCAAGCAAAGAAAATGGGCTTACTTGCTAACTATGTTGCATGAAGCCAAGTATGGTCTGACTTTGGGTCAGCTACACTTTCTCAGCCCAATACAGAAGGTTGCTATTCTGGGGATTGCATTTGGGGAGATCTACTTTCATGTAAACCATGTTACTCTTGATCACTATGAATGTAATAATTAATGAACATTGACTGGGCATGAGTAATCCGGGTACTAGACAGGTGGTGATTTTACTAATTGAACCCCCTGAAAGCATTGCTGAGCAAAGCATAAATCAAGAAGAGAACTAGTCAAGAAGAGAAGGTCTGTATGTACCTACAGGAATGTTACGTGCCTAAAAATGGGAGGCTTCTCTTGAAATTTCTAGAAGGAAGCAGGTGAGAGGACTTTACTTTTCTAAGCCTATTTCCACATTTTATCTGTAAGTTAAGTGGGATGTATGTGATATGGAAGGCATAGGCAAGGGCTAATATGATCCTCAAATGCACTAAAACTTTCTTTCCCCCCTCCCTTTTCTTTCCATTAATCATCAGCTAATAAAAAGCTATACAGTGATTCCATTTAATTGAAATCTGATCTGCAAGAATGATGTTTCACACAAAGGTAGCCTAACCCTGAAACTTGTAAGTACTAATTTCGTTATTTTTTAATTTTATTTATTTATTAATATTTATATAGCCACCCATCATGCAATCAAGTGACTCTGAGCCATACATAACAAAGTTAAAAAGAAAATATACAAATTAATATTGATATTAATATTTTAAACATTAAAATTATTTATTTATTCAGCATATTTATATAGCCATCCATCTCACAATCAAGTTATCCTCCAGGAAGCTTCAGCCCTCTCCATGTCCTACCAATTTTATTCAGTGAAAATGCCTGCAATGTAATTGAAGGATATTGCTCCTGGATAGTCCATCCTCATCTTGCAAATCTCATGGCCATGAGGGGAATTTGATCACCCTTACTGCCAACACTAGAATGATGTTCAAGCTGATTGGTGTCAAACATTGTTCTTGACCAGCTCTGCACAGGACCAAACCCTCTATTGCCTCATCTTGGTTATAGTATTGGACTTACCTGTAGCTGTAGCTGCCAGGAGAGCAAAAAGGAAGAGAGAAAGAAACTTCATGATGGTGAAAAAGTATATTTTTAAGCTAGGCAGAAGTGTTCGAACCAGGTGGTGGTCTTTGGAGCTTTCAAGCTGAAATTATAAGGATGTCTCCACAACATAAACCGAACTGTTCGAATTTTAGATCTATAGGAACGAAGATGTAGATGTGCATTTCTGCATGTGGTTCGTCAAAGTGAAAGTTACATTCTCTGTATTTAAATCTTCCCTCTTCCAACACATTCAACATTATAATTCTTGAAACTTCATCCAAGATTTTCTACTTTCCTTTTTTTTAATAATAATAATTTCTGTTAAGAATTTTTACAAGAATAAAAGATAAAGTATTAAAGAAAAGAAATTAAAGGAAAGAGAGAAAACATGAAGTGAAAAGCTAAGAATGTTATATAGATAGAAACAAGAAAAGAAAAAGACGTGACTCCCATCTTCCTTACAGCAGATATACAAACAAATCATCTCGCCTCCCTGCTTAAGATTATATTATAATTCCCTTCTTCCCATATCCAA